ATACCCTATGTTCTGAAAATAGTTTTGGAAGTCACTCATCTAGTGCGAGTTGTTTTATTTAAAAAAAAATTCAGAATCATTTATAGTCGGGCGAAAAAGCCAGACACCTTCACAAAAGGAGTGTCTTTGAAAGTCACCTTGTTCAGGTATTCTTTTGGTTTCTTTTTAGCAGAATATTATAGTGCTGTATGTAAAAAAACGTCTACTTTCTGAAAGTCATTGGATTGTTCTTGAACAATGTAACCCTGAGTTGTCATCTTAACACTATCTGGAACTTTGCTCCATCCGTATAACCCTTGAAGGTTAGGTCGACATTCTTCGACAAAAATAACGATTCAAAAATCGATTTTCATTTATCTCGTTGTCCATTTCATGTGATTTTCCTAATGAATGTATTTTCAAGATGATCTAATGATCATCCTGACGTTTTGTTACTTGAGTTTGGCACCGACATTTTTTTCAACACTTCCTCAGTGGCACAGTGGCTAAAAAAGTCGACAAAGACAAGTTTTTAAATAACTTCTCTCTTGATATGGAAAATATATTGCAAAGACAAATAATTACAATAAGTTTGTCTTTGCAATGCACTCCTGAGGATGAACTCGGAAGAGATCAAAAGTACTTGGGTTAACAAAAATTACGGTGCCTTTCGTGATGAATTTCAACTTGACCTCAAGAAACTAATTAGAGAAATAGAAAGGATTATTATAAAAATAAATAAACTGTGTTCACGTGTGTGTGTGTGTGTGCTTCCAGGGACATCGAAGTAAAACCGTATCTCCGAATTTCAGGATAATCGCGATCTTCAGACAATAAAGAAGATTGTTATTAGCATGAGTTACGGTTTTAAATCGGTGTCCCTGGACGCATTCCTGGTTATCCGTGGTCGGATTACTGGTTATTACGGGTCTGCCTTAGATTAGTAGTCATTTCGGCTTTCTTGGACATTGATCACTGTAGGCTGCTGTTTCTTTCTTTGCATTTTCTTTACTTAATTTTTTTTTTTTTTTTTTTTTGACCGCTTTGGTATTTATAGTGTTGGTTTTGACACTTTCTCTTCACCTATTTACTGCTTAATTGATCCTGATGTATATATATATATATATATATATATATATATATATATATATATATATATATATATATGAATGAAGGAATATAGTCTTAAGGTGCTTTTAATATTTATGGGATAACGTGCTCAATATCAAAGATAGAGCGTGTGTAAATGTTTAATTTTATAAGTATATATATATATATATGTGTGTGTGTGTGGGTGTGTTTAAAGATAAAACATTACATATATATGTTATGATAAAACATTATACATATATGTGTGTAATGATAAAACATTATATATATATAAAATGATTATATATATATAATCATTATACGTAATATTTTTACTCTTAATTACTAATAGACTATATTTCTTTTTACATCAAGTAAATGTAATAGAATTACTTAAATTATTTAAAATTATTTTTCATATCAAATATAAATATGTATATTACCAGCTCTCATTTTTTAAATTTTTTTAATTTTATTTTTAAATATTATTTAAGGATAATTTTTTGACAAGGACAGCAAAGCATAGCTATTTCATTTCTTTGATTCAGTAAATTTTTATTTTTATATAAGTTTAGTTATACATACATACATACATATATATATATATATATATATATATATATATATATATATATATATATATATATATAGTTTCTCATGTATGCTTTTGTTTATATATATATATATATATATATATTTATAAACAATATATATATATATATATATATATATATATATATATATATATATATAAACAAATATAGATAGATAGATAGATAGATAGATAGATAGATAGATAGATGAATAGATATACAAAATTTTATTCCACAGAATTTAAATATGGCTTTGAAAATGACGGAACGCATTCTTTTAAAGGGACTTTTTGCGTTCAACAATCTTCAGAAAGATTTTATACTCACTAGGAACTAATTCACACCAATTTGTTTGTTTTTAATAATAAATTTATTTTAGTCGTGGTTCCTTATTTAAACCTCGTGTCTATCTTTTTCAGTTTCACCGTTTTGATTATTAGTGATCCAACGAATCATTATGAAAAAGTGTTGGACGAAAATGTTCCTTTTAAAATGCGTTCCGTCATTTTTAAAGCCACAAGCCCATATTCGCGCGCACTCACACGCGCGTGCGCATGCACATACAATTATACATATATATATATATATATATATATATATATATATATATATATATATGCGCCAAATTCTAATATTCTCATTTTTCCATACAGAGCTTTAACATGGCAGTTTCCAATGCGATCAAGGAAGTGATATTCTATGGCCGTGTCACTAGCTATAAACCACATCAACTCGGGTATAACCTGTTCTGTGAAGTGGTCAAAGGAATAAGAAGAACGACTAGTTCAACCCGCCTGTTATGGTCCTTGGAGTCGTGAGCTACGAAGTCCCTGTTATTCCAACACTCATTTTTCCACAGCGTTTCTGAATTAATGTCTCCGCCTACACCGACATGCTGAAAACTGTAGTGAAACAGTGAATCCAGCAAGGGGACATATGTATTCTATCAAGCCTCTGCTCTGCTCAAACATGAGACACGCGAGTGGGCGAAAATTTCCAGTCATGCCGCCACCAATAGATGGCCTCGTAGATTTGATTTCTTGTGTGCCATCGATAGGTAGACCAACTAGCAGCCCCACAGTAATAAGAATGCGTTGAAGGCCGCCAATATGGATATGATGGCCGGTCACTATGAATAAAAATCACCTAATCCAGTTGCTTACCAAGTCCGCTACCAACTATTATCCAACTTAATCAGATGACTTCGCTCTGACAGCTGCCATGTTTTCAAGCAACCCCCGAAAATTTCCTGGAAGAGATTATCTTCAACAACCAAGCGGCAACTCAAAATGACTTCGAAGAATTCAGCGGTTCCAAAATTAGGGAATTCTATTTTACAAGAATAGTTGTGTTTATTGGTTTCAACAAGGCGCCGATGCTAATGTTTTGATTTTTGTTTTTATTTTTTTCATTTCGATAAATACACTTTTTCTATATTGCTCTCAAGTTGTTAAAACAGAAATTATTTTTTGCATCGCCCTAACATATCAATGTCTTTATTTACATCATCATTATTGAAAACGGACTTTTTATGATTGCCCCAACAAGATACACTGTTAAAATGAAGATTTTGACCTTATTTAATTCTCCAAATACAAACGAATCACTAACATGACTGAAATATATTCCAATTAGGTAGAAAGGCAATTTTTATCTTTCTTTTTTTCAGTTCAATTGGAGATCACTTTAATTGCTTATGCTTTTTAAAGTTTGTCCTTTAATGAAATCAAAAGAGTCTTTTCTCTTTTCGTTACCTCGATAATTTCATTCACTCCTACAACGACTATGACTTCATTATTATCATGTGCGTTTATAAAATTTGATTTTAATTGGCTGATATACAATACATTTCTTTTCTTTTATCTGTAACGCTTTTCTTTTTATTGATCTTTTTCTATCACACATTTCCTTTTAGTTATCTCTTTCTATAATATTTCTTTTTACATATCTCTTTCTATAACACATTTCTTTTACATACCTCTTTCTGTAACACATTTCTTCTTATTCATCTCTTTCTATAACACATTTCTTTTTCTTTGTCTATGGCTATAACATATTTTTTTATTAATCTCTTTCTATAACACATTTCTTTTTATTATCCCTTCTATAACACATTTCTTTTTACTTATCTCTTTCTATAACACAATTCTTCTTATTCATCTCTTTCTATAACACATTTCTTTCTACTTATCTCTTTCTATAACACATTTCTTTTTACTTATCTCTTTCTATAACACATTTCTTTTTACTTATCTCTTTCTATAACACATTTCTTTTTACTTATCTCTTTCTTATCTCTTACTATAAACTATACTAATATGAGTGATATTTATATAAATTTAAGATTTTTTTCAAAATGTGTTATATTTGAAATATTTAACATGGCTATCATTCTCTCTTTCTTTATATATACATATATGCGTGCGTTTATTTTTATGCGTGTGTATTTAAATATAAATCGATCATTTTTTTATAATGTCTCATTTCCTCAAAACTTAGGCGATCATGTCACTCCACAGATTTAGTTTCTTTGTCTATTAATTGTTATGACTTCTTGGGAAAAATACGAGAGTGGTTTTCCATTGACTTCTCCAAGGTTTTATATTGGCTCTTCTCCTAGTCTGCCTCGTAGTCAAAATCTAGAGAGAACAGTCTACCCTGTTTTTTTTTAACCCATGGGGTGAAAAGAAACAGCTTCACATTTTTCCCATTAGCAGTTGTGCAAAAGTTAATGCAGTAAACGAGGTCAGAAATTGAACTAGTCATGCCCAATCCATTTTCTATGCTAACCGCACATTCGAACATTACACGGTAAAAATTTCAGTTCGAATTTCAGCTAATAACTACATTTTAAGATAAATTATTATAACTCTAAGTATGTATATTACATTTGTATTATCTATATTTGTGCAGATCTGGGCGTCGGTGTATGTATTTGTGCATATATAAATACATATATTCAAGCGTGTTAAATTGAATAATATAGACATAGTATGTCTATTTTTATAATAATCCTTTCTAATCTCTAATTAGCTAATTCTCTAGAGAAGATTATTATAAAAATAAATAGACATGTCTACATTATTCAATGAAACATGCCTGAATGAAGATATACTGCCTAAATATAGACATTTTAAATACGTAAGTTGCGTTTATTTCGAAATATAAAGTGCTTCTTTTCTTACAACAATTATATGAGTTTGCAGAAAAAAAGTGAACTTAAAACCGTAGAATCTTTATGACAGAATGAGTCAAACCTCCGAAAGTATTCCGAACTTTGATAATATTTTATTTTTTATTTTTTTCCAAAATATTCTAAATTGAAAGGCTTTGAAGAATATGCAGGAAAGCAAAACACTTCTTGACTCTTCCCTGTCGCCTACTGTGAGAATCAATAGTCCATTCCTCCGCCTTGTTATTCTTGAACTTCATGTGTTACAAGAAGAAATTCTTCCTTGCAGCAATTATGCCAAATGATATTAACATTTAATTATCGTTTTCACTTTTCATCCATTATAATCGTCTCCGCATCACCCTCCCCATTTCTCTCGTTGGCGACAAGAAAAAAAAAATAAAAAAAGTGAAAAATTGTCACCTCCAACTGCGTTATATTTTGAACTTTGTTGGCAAAAATCAAGACTGCGTCTTTTGTCTAATGTGCGGGCGTTCTTGTTGGGGATCCTGGGCCTATTCTTCGTGCCATAGTTAATATTCACGACGTCATTGAAATGTTTGCCGGTGATGGTTTTTCAGAGTCTAACATCTATTCGCTTCAATATTTTTAGTATGGAAAAAGTTTCTAAGAAAGGAAGACTTAGCAAAATCATTTTCACCCGGGCCCATTTATCTTTATGACGATTTTAGAAAGATGCGGGAGAATGGAAACGTTTTCTTTTTCGACTAAATAAAAAAAAAAAATTAAAAAGAAAAAAAAATGGGTCTTGGAATAAAACAAATACCATATTTCACAGTATACAGAACGAACTTTTTCACACCATACAAATTGCACCCCCCCCCAAAAAAAAAACACTTCCAAAAATCATCTTGACTCTGTATCCAGATTGCAGGGTTAACATTAATAATACCTAAACACTCTGTTTTTCCTCCGGTAGCCCATAATAAAATATTTATTGCTATACATGGTTACATTATGATTATAAATCAAAAAAATAATAGTAGATATGTTAGCTTATCGTTCGGTTAACGATCTTTTCATATATATATATATATATATATATATATATATATATATATATATATATATATATATATAAAAGGTAAACGATCAGAGTTGAATATTACCAGGTGATGCGGAAATATTATTGGTTCTACCCATTTTCCAAAATCGAAACAAATTTTGTAAGGGTTTCTTGGACGGAACGAGGACTTTTCATCACCCGCTCTCTTGCATTCTCTTGTATTTCTTCTATTAACGCAATGAGGGAGATTCAATAACAAAAGTGATAAAAGCAGAAACAAAAAGAAAAAGTAACTAAATAAAATCGGATAGACTCTATACCCAAAGCACATATTTAAAAAAAAAATTAATTTAAAATTTCAGATTCTCCTCTCCTTTATACGCATGTATAATCACATCGACGTAAATATTACTGTAGTGCGACGAAGTTATCGATTTTCCTAAAAAAAAATATTTATTTCCAAATTATAGTTGAGTGTGTATTTTATTGTGGATAAAACGGTATATCTACGATCGAAAAAAATCATCTGTGTTATCAATATTTTTACTATAGATATTTTTATCTACTATAAAATTTACTATAAAATATTATTATCATTATTATTATTATTTAATTTCTTAACATTAGAGGAAAAACTGGCACTATGTGAGGTTTTTTTTTAAATTGGTTCCTGTAGAAGGCTTAAATGATTTCTTTGTCACCAATAAGAAATCATGGTTTGAAACAATGTATACATTTATTGTATCATACCTTATTTGAACTCTATCCTAATAATGAACATTTAATTTAAACATCTGACGGTATGGGATTCTACAAAGTATCACTTTAGGCATAAGAAAAAGAGGCAGACAAAAAAAGATGGTGAGAGTGATCTGACAACGTTACTAACTTGACTGGAATATCATTCACAGAGGCTCAGACATTGGCACGCAACAGGAGCATAATATACTGAAAACGTTGCTTTTTTTAAAACTCATTAGTGTAGGTAGTGGCATTGATTCTCTAAAAAATTACCATATAGTGATGAAAAAATGCCCAAAACTTAATAAAAACAAAGTTTTATCGTCGAAATCCCTGTATTATTTCTAAGAGAAAAGACCAAAGATTTTTTTTTATTATTAAATTATATATTTTGATACTTAGAACGTTCGAAAACTTTGCTTATTTTTTTTCTTTTTCGACAGTGGGTTGAGGGGGAATTATAGAAAAATTTTAGCCTTTTTTTGCAGTGAAAAACATTGATTTTCGAAATTCTTGCAAAAATCAAATAGTTTTCAGGTTTTAATTAAACTTTCAGGACTTATTCACAAATGAATTAAATTATTTTTAAAATATTTGTTTTTTTTAGAATATCTAGGCAAAACATTTATACATCTGTTACCCTCCAATTATTTAGTTTTATTAAATTTCGAGAAATTAGATTTTGTAGGGCTTATATTCGTTATACGCAAAAGTACCTGGAGAATTTAAACCATCAGTTCCTTTTTGGAAAACAGGACATCCAGTTACCGAAAATCTACTCTGAATCGTAAAATAAAAATTTCAATAAAACTAAGATATTAGTTAATTAGAAAATCTTTTAATTACTTTTCTAAGATATATTATATACACTACTGTCTTAAGAAAAATTCAATTCGATGAATAATGAATTTTTGCAAGAATTGATTTAATCTTTTAACATTTTAATTAGAATAATTTATAAACTTTTAAATATTTTAAAATTCTGTATTAATTTGTAGTGGTTAAATGATTTTGTTATTTTGAAAAGCTATATTTACTAATTATAAATGGGAAAGCTCACTACGCTTCATCGACCCCTAATATTTCAAAAAGAATTATTTTTGTGTATGTAAATGTGCCGATTTTTGTAAATACGGGCGTCCATACACAATAATATCAGAAAATGAGAGCGGTAAATTTAAAGCCAAAGAATCTAAAATTCCATAAAACATTAGATTACAAAGAATATTTTCCTAAATTTGTAATATTACTGAGTAGTTAAAAATTATATTCCTGAAGTAATTTTTACAGATTTTATAAAAATCTGTAGAAAAATTAGATAAACTTCAGTCTGACAGTCAAACCCTCAACCTGTCAACATCATAAATAAAGAGCTACCTTCGTGTTAAAAATGCATTTCTGCAATATTTTAAACTTAAATTAATATTTATTAATCAGATTAATTAAACTATAAATCAGCTAATATTCCTCAAAAAATGTTTCAGAAAATTATATTTTATTTTGAAAGATTTTTAATAAAGAGAATTGCATTGCGTTGACAGATGACTAAAAATGGCGCTAAAATCAGCAATTTTAGTAATTTCAAAACGAAAACTCCTTCCATTCAATTTAAATTAGTTTTGAAATACAGTAAAGTAGTTTGCTTATTGGAAATATTAAACTTATCTATTAATCATTCTTATCCCAACTATGCCATATACTTACGTCATTAGCAGACCTACGTCACCATCAGTAAACTGGTTCCTGGAAGGAAACAAGAAATCCATTTTCTATTAGTAGATTCGTTTTGGGTGTGCTATGAAATGTCTAAATGATCAATAGCCATTTTTTTGCATCTATTCTTGGACTCACGGTGTGGATCGAACACATTACGAATGTTCCGCGAACCCAGCTTGCTAATCATTATACCACGAAGAGGTTCTCCCAGAATATTCTTTAATTGCTGTAGTGTTTGTCAACCCTGAAAATGTATCGGTTATCAGGGTTAGAGTGACCTTTAGTGTGTGGGCGGACGGTGGTTTGCTAGCCGCGAGCGGTTATTTGTCAGCCTTGCCGTGTAAGCAGGCTGGCGGAGTAATTCACTGAAACAAGCCGTTCACAGCGCTATCGAGTAACGCGGACTACAATAGAACGAGGCCCCATACATTTCACTGGTCATGAATAGGCAAACGTCATTACTCAAAACTTCATCTGTGTTTGGTTGCTGCTGCCGACACGGGTGAGGATATGGCGGCACTGGCATCAATCATGTGTATGTAATGTGGGAGACCCTGTTTGTTGGCTACTAATTTCTGAAAATTACTTGTTCTCCAAAGATAAGTATAGGGCAGCGGCCATAGAGCCAGAGAGAGCCAAGCAGTACACGCAGGCCTAGTCGACTTGTATTTATCAAGCCTTTTAGAGTTTATACCTCGCGTCTATTAAAACGTTAACTCGCTTACAATCTGCTAAATACTACAGATTTTTCTTTGATAACTAAGATTAAACTTTCAAGATTGCATAATATTTAGTAAATATTTTCTTTTCTTCATTTTTTTGTCATTGTAATCAGTTTTTATATCTGGCATAGTTCATCTTTATCATTTGTGGAACCGACTCCCAAGAGGATGCTTCTCTGATCACTACAATCTTAACCTGTGCAAGTCTAGAGTCAACAGTTATCTTCCCATATATTCCCATAAACTGTGTACCTTACCTTGTAATTCTCTGCCTTAAGTGACTCTTGAGCTTTATACATGGTGAACATTATTATAGGAAAAAATATTATTATGATGGAGACGGTAACTAGAAACCACTCGACAACTAGGCCTTTGATCAGGGGATTAGAGGTTTTGAGGAGCATGGGGCTATCTCTTAATTGCAGTTGTTGTCAGATCCACTATTATCCGGGTGGTAGCACCTGTAAGGGTCCCAGCTATAGACAAAGAGTGAAACCCCAAACAAAAACGAAAAACTGTGAAAGTATAAAAATACATTTTTATAGTAAAAATACCAGCAATTCATTTTTATATGTATAAGAAATTACCAACGATACATATATTTGTAATAAAATTACCACCAATACATTTATCTGTAGTTGAAGCCATAGAAATAAAATTGTTCAAAATATTTTGATTTCGGCATCAAATAACCCAGCAAGTTTCCTCAATCCAGCACTCTGCTTAGTATACTAGTTGTTTTTAGTAATGCTGTCGTCTGGATGGTCCAGACTCTTCTTCCAATTTGCAATTTCTCTAACCGTTTTCCTTGGCTCTTCGAAACCGCTCCGATAAATACTGGAATGACTGTCTTCTTCTCCTCCTCCTCCTCCTCCTTCTTCTTCTTCTTCTTCTTCTTCTTCTTATTATTATTATTATTATTATTATTATTATTATTATTACTTTGTGTATGTTATGTTTTCTGCTTTGTATCCTGTAGAGTCGGGTCCAAACTATGGCTCTTAGG